CGCGATCTAAAAAAAGTAGGTACTCGCGTGCCGGTTTTTCCGCGCTTTCAACCTCAAAGGGTTAATGCTCAGCGAGTTAGCTTCCTTTTGTTTCCTTTTTGTAGGCCGAAAGGAATGCACGCTCAGCATCGGTGTGTTCTTTTATTCTACTGTCCCTTACGCTTTCAGGAAAGGAGTTGTCTCAGAAGAATGCTTCCGCAACTGTAGAGGATGATTTCGATCTCGACGACCTTGCGGATGTAAGCAGAATGCAGCTCCTATTGTTTTGACCATGCCGACTCACACGATGGAGAACTCCTTGTATTACGAACGTTTTCTCCAACATTTCATTTTTGTTCCTATTTCTAATCTGCGGCAGGACCCTGAGCTTGAAAAACTACACGCTGAACGGCTACAATCCTGATGGTAAAGCTAATGCCACATCCACGTTTCCGTCCATTGTTGACTGCCAAGTGTACAGCGAGTTCTAAGTCAGTGTGTTGGTTTAGACTTGACCTTATCCCTTGTTGCGTTCACATCGTCTTGGCTCAGGCCGAGACCAAGAAGCGCGAAAACCTAAGAAAAGAAGGGACGGGGAGTACCGGGAGGTGAGAATGCTGAAACGTGCATTAGCAGATTCGGGTAGTAGAGTACTGACGTAAATCTGGTAACGTTTCGAATTCCCTTCCAGATCACGGAGGAAGAGTTTCTACAAGAGGTTAAGTCAAGCGAACTCGTCTATGCCACTTTTATCACGCCGAGTTCCCTCGTTGCAAGTATGTTTCACACACCCTCGCGCATTTGCTTCGTTACACATTCTCCTCGCAACTGAACGTCGTTGCTGTGCACCTTTTCAGGATCGTTGATAAGCATCTGGCCATCCTGGCACCAAACATTTGGAGGCCAAGTTTCTAAAGATTGACGCAGAGGTAAGTTGTACGATATGTTTTCATGCAAAACTTTCCGCCCTTTCTGGGGCGCACATAGTGCTGGAATTTCCTTATCAACATTAAATCCCTGTTGTACTCTTTCACCCTTCGTCGTGGCCATCTCTCTCTCCACTATTATGGTTAGCTCCCCACCTGCTTCCGCATCTCCCCTGTTTCAGGACCCTTTATCCTCCATCATGTCCTGTATCTCCCTTTTGTTTTCATGTGTGCAACAGAAATGCCCTTTTTTGTGTCCAGATTAAATATCAAAGTCCTACCATGCATGATTCTATTCAGGTTCGTGCATCCATGTCCAACGTGTTAATGCAGGAGGATGGGAGATAGTGTCATGTAGGGGGGGATGTGGAAAGCATTGACTACGGTTACAACACTATGAGATCGAGCTCAGCTAGTATTTGCTTGTTCTTCACATGCAGGGATGCCGTTGCTTTTCATAGAATAGTAGGGTTCGAGGCCTTCAGGAATCGTGACAACTTCTCAACTTCGGAGCTGGAGAACTATCTGATTAAGCAAGGTAAGAGCTCCCGATGTTGTGTGTGTGTGTTGTGTGTGTGTGGTGTGTGTGTGTGTGTGTGTGTGTGGTGTGTGTGTGTGTGTGTGTGTGTGTGTGTGTGTGTGTATCTGTGTTGCATTTTTGTTCTCTAAGAGTTCTCTAACGAGTAAATCTCATGCTGTTTCAGAGTTCTTGGAGTTAAGGGAAGACGAGGATGCTGAAGAAGAGGATGAAAATAAGGGAAGAAGTATACGAGCATCTGCTCTTTCAAGTGGCTATGAGTAGCCTCGTGTATTGGTTCCTTGACATATCTAACTGCAAACTTAGTGAAGGTCAGCTCTGTTGATATTTTATGTACCGGAAGCTAGTAACGGAGCCAATACAGTTGAAAACTGATTTGACCTGCTTCTTGGAAAGAAAGCGCGCACCAGCTGGCGTCCAGCAAGATCGGGCACCCAGACTGTACGGTATCACTTGCCACAAGCAGGACAGACAAGCATCTGGAAGAGTGCTGCACTTCGTGAATTTTCGCCATGGGATACGCAATGCTTCTATGAATGGTTCAGGAATGCTCCCAGCTTTCCGACAGCTCGTAACGTTCTAAATCAACGCTTTAGACTAGATTGACCATAGATTTGACATTTAAATCGCCTGTCTTCGCACATCTCGTTGACATAACCAACGGATGCTGCCTGGTGGAACTCCGTAGTGTAGATTCGATGTGGAGCTGGCTGGAGAGGACTGAGGCAGCAGCAATGCTTTGTGGCAATGCCTTGTGGGCAGGTCGTACATTTACGATGCTGGCTCAGGACGGTTTTCCACGGTGAAAAGCGGTTTCTGAGATCTACCGTTCACCGCAACAAATTTCATCACAGAACGTACGGTAGCCGTAGGACCAGATGACGTCCTCCCAACATAAGTCAAGGAGCTGGGCTCCTCCAAATGCTCGACTCGATGTCTTCGTTTTCAGAATGCCTATGTTCAAGCTTTTGTCCATTATAGATAGAACGAGTCAAGTTCCGTAGTGCCCATCCTGCCTTTCTGACTATAACTCCATTGACGCCTTGCTTGACAAACAACTCCTATTTCCGCCATCCTGCAGCTTCATATCCACGTCCCCCCAAATCTCCTAGGTCGACATTGTTACGGTAGTCATGCTGATTTTCGTTATTTTCTAAAGCACCGGTTTTTAATATTTAGGCTCGAGGAGCCAAACTTTTGCGAGAATGAGCTGGAAGTGGTCGCAGGAGCTGAGCCCGTGAGGCGACTTTTGAGTCGACTCAAAAGCACTGGTTTTTAATACTTAAGTGGTCCGAGGAGCGAGACGTTTGCGAGAATGAGCTGGAAGTTGTCGCAGGAACCAAGCCCGCGAGGCCAGCCCGAGCCGCTGGAGCACCAGCCGCTGCAATGGGTGCTCGAGGTGACTCCCCAGCTGGACGTCAGTCGCAGCACTCTCGCCGTCGCTCTCGCCGACGCGGAGAGCTTGAAAAAATCGCACGAGTTGTCGCACGGATCGTTGCGGGGGTTCGGAGTCGGGAGCCAGCGGAGCCGGCGCGGAACTTCCCGTGTTCATTCTCGTCGCCGTCATGCAGGACGCTACTGCACCTCCTTGTACGCGATAAGAAATCTCCTCGATATGCGTCCGCGAGAGGTTGAGCGCTACGAAAACAGTCTTCGTCAAGCTTTTTGTCCGTCGAATGTATCAGCCTCCTCTTCTTTTCCCTCGTCAGCGTCGACGCGCGACGTTGCTTGTGGCAAATTCGCAACTGATAAAATTGAAACGTCTTTCACACTGAACGGGTTGCACCGGCCCGCGGACCGGCCGTGTTCACCTAATATGTTCTTTACCGACAGGTTGAGGAGGTAGGGCAAGGTCAGATGCGCGTGACGTTATTCACATGGCATTGCGCGTGTGACATCGTGCGCGTGGCATTGCGCGCTTGTGCGCGCAACATGAAGCGTGTGACATTGTGCGCGTAGGGCACTCTCGGATTAAGCACTTCACCATTGCGAAACATCAGCAAATGCGTGCGTACTCATCTCATCCTGATGATCCATGCATCCATGCATGCATCCATGCGTGTCTCTCTCCTCTCATCTGCCATGACCATGGACGAGGCAGTGTGGCTAGTGGAGGCAGAGGAACCGCCGTCCGACGCCCCTGAGAAGCAGCAGCTGGGTGCACGTGCACAACCGTGCGTGTATGCACTCACCCCATGTCTGTTCTTCTCTCCCTTTCTCCCTCTCTCTCCCTCTCTCTCCAGCGCCCATGGTGCGGCGAACCATGACAATGGACGAGGCAGAGCGCCTGGCAGAGGCAAAAGAGGCGCCTCTCGATGCTCATGCCTCGCTCTCCTTCCCCCACAGCTCCTCTCCCTCCCCCCCGCGTCCTCTCCTTTTCAGCCCCCATGGTACGACGAACCATGACAATGGACGAGGCAGTGCGCCTAGCAGAAGCAGAGGAGGCTGTCATTCGCAAGATGCTGCAGCCACTCAAGACCCTTGCACACAGCCGCCAGGTGAGACGCTCGTGACGCCGGCTGTCTGCTTGGTTGATAGTTCTGAGCGGCCTCGGAACTGGCAGAGGAGGTCGTCATTCGCAAGATGCTGCAGCCGCTCAAGGCCCTCGCACACAGCCGCCAGGTGAGTCGATCATAAACCCGCCCGGGCTGCTTGAATGATGGTTTTGACAGGTCTCAAACTCGCAGAGGAGGCTGTCATTCGCAAGATGCTGCAGCCACTCAAGGCCCTCGCACACAGCCGCCAGGTGAGACGCCGCCAGGTGAGACGCTCGCGGAGCCTTACAGCCGCCAGGTGAGACTCCTTCAGTCATAACACCCTTCTTACCCTTTTGCCGCGAGGTGTGTGCAGTGATGCATCTGGGGCGCAGCAGCAGCAGCGGCCTGCTTTGAAAAGCCTGTGTGTGGTTGGTCGGTGTTTGGTCCTCGTTTGTCGTATCCTCCTTTATTCACCCCCAACCCCTTCCCCCCCCCCCTCCCCCCCCCCCACTTTCCCCTCCCCCCCTTCCCCCCCCCACCTCCCCCCCCTCTCCCTTCCTTCTCCCCTTCTTCCCTGCCCCCAGGTGCGAGCAGTGATGCATCTGGAGTGCAGCAGCGACCATGAGAAGGCCCTGTGTGTGGCCAGTCAATACACTCCTCCTGCTCCCCTTGCTCCCCCCCCACGCCCCCCTGCCTCCAGGTGCGAGCAGTGATGCATCTGGAGCGCAGCAGCGACCATGAGAAGGCCCTGTGTGACGCAGTCAAGCGGTTCTCCGCCTCCAGGGTCTACATCGGGGTCAGAAAGTGAGTCAGACAACAGAACACAGTCCCTTTTCAAGGCCCTGTGTGCTAAGCCCCTCCGCAACACCCAAGAATACATATATTGCGAGTCGATACTCGCTTGCGAATAATAATAATGATGATAATAATAATTAATAATATAATATATAAATCCCATGAGTGCTTCTGCTCTTCTTCATGAGCAATGTGACTCTGAAGCGAAGGCCCTCAGCAACACAGAAGGATGCGATTTCCAAGTCTCAACGACCTGGGACCCACAGCAGCACATGTCCCCTCTTCCCTCTCTCCTCTCCCCTCTCCCCTCTCCCCTTTGCTCCACCCTCCCCCTCTCAGGAAGTTCCTGTGGTCGAACTCCCTCAGCAGCGCGCCGACAGCCTACTACGAGACGAATCTCCCCGACGGCTGTGTGCTGGTGGTGGCGCAGGGGTCGCGGCGGGTGGCAGAGATCCCCGTGCATCCCAAAGGGCCCCTCCGCAGCCGCACCCTCAGCCGCTCCAAACGCTCCCAGGCTGGCTTTGATCCGCCGCTCACGCCCACAGGCACTGCACCTGGTGCTGGTGCTGGTGCTGCTGCTGGTGGTGGTGTGGTAGGGGGGTGGGAGGGGCAGGGGCAGGGGACGAGGTGTGGGCAGGGGTGTGGGCAGGGAATGGAGAGGGGTGCAAGCAGGGGGTTTCCTCGCTCGGCATCGTCGAATGCTGCTTTGGAGGCGGAAGCAGGGGTGGAGAGCGGTGGTCTGATGCTGGTAGCAGCGCTCGTGCTGGTGCTGGTGCTGGTGCTGGTGCTGGTGCTGGTGCTGGTACTGGCACTGTTGCTGGCGTGGGTGCTGTGATTGGTGGTGGTGTTGGGAGCAGTAGTGGTGGGCGGGGCGGGGTTGGCAGCAGAGGAGAGGGAGAGAGGAGGCGGGGGAGAGAGAGGAGTCCAGGCAGGAGAGCGAGAAAGCAGAACCCCTGGCGGGCAGACTCAGGGTGATTGTGCCGTCTACTAGAGAGGTGGACGGATGGGGGGTACAAATTCAGGGAGAGCAGACTCAGGTGGAGCAGCGACAGGGGGAGCAGCGACAGGGGGGGCAGCGACAGGGGGAGGAGAGTCAGGGGGGACTAGGGCTGGAGGCTGGGTCGGGGGATGGATGATGATGCACTGGCAGAGGCTAGGAGAAGAATGGATTCAGAAGCAGGAGGAGAGAGGCGCCAACGTCAGGTAGAACGCCAGGTGCTGCATCAGGTGCTGGCATCCGATGCTGCATCAGGTGCGGCATCAGGAGCAGTGGATTCAAGCGAGCAGGGCGCCATCAGCGGAGCCACTCCATGCACCTGCTGTCACGCACACCCACAGCTCTCTTCTCCCCCTCACTCCCTCCCTCTCACCCCCGCCGCCTGTCCATATCAGACGCCCTAGAAGCAGAGGGCAGTGTGGGCCAAAAAACGGGGCCCGGGGGCGAGAGAGGAAGGTTAAACTGGAGGTCGAGGAGGTGGAGTGAGGAGGAGGAGGGAGGAAGAGGAGGAGGAGGAGGAGGAGGAGGGGAGTGATGGACCCCATGGTGGTAGGAGGAACCTTCCCAGTGAATACCATGACCATGCCCAGCCAGTTTTCGGCCCGTTGAGTGTGCGCGGCAACCCCACCACCCCACGCCGCCTTTCTCCCCAGATGACTGGACATTCCCTCTAATGATGATGCTTCTGATGCCTCTGGTGCTTCTGGTGCCTCTGGTGCTACTTGGCCGTCCAGTGCTGCTGGTGCATCTGGTACATCAGCCCCCACGACTCCCAAGGGAGCGAGCAGAAACCCCAAGGGCGAGGGCATGGCAGGGAGAGGCGCAGGGAGAGCCGTTGGGATGGTAGAATCTGGAGGGATTGCGAGGCATGATAGTGGGAGTGGGCGTGGGCGTGGGAGTGGGAACCGGGATGGGAGTGGGAATGCTGGTGGGAGAAGAAGGAGGAAAGGCCAGGAGTACGCATAGGAGCAGGTGCAGGAGCAGGTGCAGGAGCAGGTGCAGGAGCAGGAGCAGGTGCAGGTGCAGGTGCAGGTGCAGGTGCAGCTGCAGGTGCAGGAGCAGCGACAGGCACCGGCACAGGAGCAGGGGGGAGCAGGCAGGAGGCCAGGCGGGGGGCTTGGCGCAGCCGGTTTCGCAGTGCGAGTGTGAGCGAGGTGCCTCTCTCGCCCTCCCAGCTGCTCTCCCCCTCTGGCCTGCTCTCCCCCGAGCGCCCCTTCTCTGCTATCTCCGCCTGGGATGCCCTTCCTGTGCGCATCGGGGGCAGTGCTGTGGAGACAGGGGGGAGGGTGATGGAGGGCGAGGTGCTAAAGTCGCCGCGCATGGGGGGCAGTGCTGTGGAGACAGGGGGGAGGGTGATGGTTGAGTCGATGCACAAGTCGGCTCGTGTAGGGGGCAGTGGCGCTGGTGCTGGTGGTGATGGTGCTGCTGGTGCTGGTACTGCTGGTGCTGGTGCTGCTGGTGCTGGTGTTGGTGCTGCTGCTGCTGCTGCTGCTGCTGCTGCTGCTGGTACTCACGGGGATGCTGACGAGGATGAGGATGACGTGTTTGAACAGCTGATGCGGCGCCAGCTGGACACAGTGAGCAGCAAGAACGACACCAACAGTAAAAGCAACAGCATGGTCAGCGGCAGCAGCAGCAACAGTCATGTCCGCACTGCATCAGCCTCTGGCTCCTCCAACCGGGATGTGCTGCCCGCGCACATGGGGGACCATTGCTGCGGAGACAGGGGGGAGGCAGGTGGGAGGGAGTGGGGATGGGTGGGGGACTGGGAGCAATGTGTCGTCTGCTGCTGCTTCTGCTGGTGATGCTGACGAGGATGAGGATGAAGATGACGTGTTTGAAACTGCTGATGCAACGGCAGCTGGATGCAGTGAGTAGCAACAGCAAAGTCAACGGCAGCAGCAGCAACATCAACAGCAGCAGCAACAGCAACAGCAACAGCAGCAGCCATGCCCGCAATGCATCAACCACTTCCTCCTCCTCTCCTGCTCCTCCTCTTCCCCCTCCTTTGGCCACTGCTGTTGCAGCAGGATGGCAGGTGCAGCTGCTGCACAATCACAGTGGCAGTATGCATGGTGATGGTGATAAAATCACAGTGCTGTAATAAACGGTCATAATGCTACCCCCGGCAGCAGCAGTGCTCACCTGTCTCACCAGATCTTCAACACCACACCTGCAGCCTCGGCAGCCACAGCCTCGGTGGCAGCCACAGGTTCGGGTGGATCCCCTAAGCTTCGGATGCTCACCACTAAAGGATCTGGCTCAGGTTCAGGTTCAGGTTCAGGTTCAGGTTCAGGTTCCCCGCCTGGCCTCAGGGCTAGGGCTGGGCAGAGCAGCAGCTAGAATGCTCTTTCCCAAGTCTTCCAGTGGCGGCAGCCGCACGGGGCGAGAGGACACCACTCCCCAAAGCCCCCTGGCGTCCCCTCCCCCGTCGGATCCTGAGGGTGATGAGTATCAACGGACACGATCGCTCGGCACGTATGATTTTGTAAGGTATAAGCAGAGCAGGAGCGCGAGCAGGGAGGAGCAGCAGGGACTATGGGGAAAGCAGTGGCAGTGGAGGCAGTCCCTCTCAGAAATCTGCGAGCCTCCTTTCTCATTCGTCTTCCGATCTCCCCTGCAACAATCTGTGCCATCAGTTCAGCAATCTGTTTCAGAGAGGCCTAAAAAGTCGTCCCATCAGCAGCCTCTGCTGCTGGATGGATCAGCGAAAGCGGCAGTCGCAAGCCAATCTGCCAGGCACCCCGTCCCTCCTCGCTCTCCCTCTCGCCGCACCCCTCCTCCGCTCGTCCCCTCTACTGCTTCTGCTGCTGCTAACACGTCTCCACCCCGCTCTGCTCGAAGAAATGCTGCTGTTCCCCCCGCCTTTCCTCGATCTGCTAGTGCGGGCAGCAGCAGCAGCAACGGGGAGAGCGGCAGAAGCCGAAGCAACGCAGGCAGCAATTTCATCAATTACAGCAACAGCTACAGCAACAGCAGTGGCAGCAGGATTGAAGGATCAGAGCATGCTGCTGCTGCTGCTGCTATCGGTACTGGTGGAGTGGGGAGAGGGGCGAAAGAGGTGATGGAGCCAGGGGAAGAAGATAGAGGAGGAGCTTATACCAGTGGCAGCAGAAGCAGTGTGACGATGCTGCGAACCAAATCCGGAGAGATTTTAGGCCGCAACCAGCAGCAGCAGCAGCAGCAGCCGCAGCCGCAGAGGAGGGCTTTGGAGAGGTTTCCTGTGTGCCGCATGGAGCAGCGGCAGCAACAGGTGAAGCTGGCTTGGGATGACATTCTGGGGGACGGGCCTGATGCAGGACAGGCGCCAGCAGGAGAGGTTCGCTTGTCCGCAAAGCGGTGAAGGCAGCAGGAGCCGCAGGAGCAGCAAAAGCAAGAGACGCAGCGGGAGCAGCAAGAGCAACACGAGCAGCAGGAGCAGAGAAAGGCAGAGGTGGGGAGACGGAGCACACAGCATGGGCAAACGGCGCAGCAGCAGAGGAGTTTGATTTCGGTGTGCCAGCAGAGACGGCAGGTGAGGTTGAAAGGCGCGAGTCTGTGGACCTGGCTATGGGTGGCAAGCCAATGCCCAGGGGTGGTGGCAGTGGCGGTGATAGCGGTGGTGGTGGTGGTGGTGGTGGTGGTTCAAGGCTCAATCAGGGCAGCAACAATGGCACCATGCTGAGCTCAGGTACAGATGATGCAGCACGGGCAGCAGCAGCAGCAGCAGCAGCAGCAGCAGCAGCAGCAGCAGCAGCAGCAGCAGCAGCAGCAGCAGCAGGAGGAGCAGGAGAAGCAGGAGGAGAAGAAGCCCAAAGTCCCGAGGATCTATCAGCGTCCAGCATCCCTCACCACCTATCGTCTCTTGTTCCCTGTCGGGTGTTCACTCTGCAGCAGCTAGCAGCAGCAAACTGACGGCTTCAATCCCTCTCGCCTGCTGGGCCGCAGCAGTGGGGGCAGCGCAGGGGGAAGTGTGTACCGAGGGGAGCTGCTGGGGCGCCCTGTGGCGATCAAGCGGCTGCAGGGCCCGGGAATTAGCCACAGGAGTCCGGGACCCTACTCCACGTCAGCTGCCACGTCAGCTGCCTCGTCAGCGGCCACGTCAGCAGAGGCTGAGGCGTTTTGGAGGGAGGTGGGGGTGCTGGCGAGTGTGCGGCACGCGCACGTGGTGGGCATGGTGGGGTGCTGCCCTGAGGACTTCTCCCTTGTGTATGAACTCATGGTGGGAGGGTCTCTCTGGGACCGCCTACACCCACAGCTGCAGCAGCAGCCGCAGCAGAAAAGGCAACAGAAACAGCAGCAGCAAGAGCATGAACAAGGGGCAGCCACCACCCCGCCTCCCTCCCCTCTCCCCGCTCCCCTCCCATGGCACCATCGCCTGTGCATCGCCTCTGAAATCGCCTCTGCGCTCCTCTTCCTACACTCCCACAGCCCCTTATCCTCCACTCCGACCTCAAACCCCAAAACATCCTTCTCGACAGCCATGGCGCCAGCAAACTTGCTGATACAGGCCTGGCGGGGCTCAGTTTTCTTCGGCTTGCTTCCGCAGAATCACCTCGAGGTCACGTTCAAGGTGCAGGGGACGTTTGGGTTTTTCGATCCGGATGTTGTGGTTACCACCGGGGAGGTTACGGCAGCGAGTGATGTGTATGCTCTGGGCGTGGTGCTGCTGCTGCTGCTCACCGGGATCGAAGATGTGAAAGAGGTGCACCGGTTGTTTGGTCAAGTGTCAAGCACAAATGCTACCACAATCACAAGTGCAAGCACAGGCTCACGCCCTACGTGCAATCTAGATATTGCCGTGCCTTTCTTTGCGGAGCGCCTTGACAAGCGGGCGGGCAGCTGGCCGAGAGATTTGGCTGCCCGGGCTCTGCGAGTGGCGCTGCAGTGTGTGGAACGGCGCGGCGTGGATCGGCCAGACCTGCAGACAGTGGTGCACCCGACCCTGGCTGCCATTGCTAAAGAGGTGCGGGAGGTGCAGGCGCGGGAGGTGCAGGCTCGGGAGGAGGTGAAAAAGGGGGGAGGGACTGCGGGATCAGGAAGAAGAGGTGAAGCAGAGGCGGGAGGTGCAGGCAGGGCAGGAGTTTGCAGCTAGAGAGTCGCTTCATCTGCCCTCTCTCCCATGTGAGTTGCCCTCCGCTGCTGTATCCCTCCCAACTTGATGCCCATCATCTCCCGTCAGTCCCATGGTGGTGAGGTACAATAGCGGCGTTTCTCAGACCGCGTGCTTTTAGCACCGGTTCCCTGTGCACACATTCCCTCCCTCCTGTTTTTTCTGCTGTATCGCTCCCAGCCTGGTGCCCATGTCCATCATCTCCCGTCACTCTCATGGTGGTGATGTACGATGGCGGCGTTTCTTGCAGAACGTTTCAGGGATTTTTTGAGAATTCTCAAAAACCGCCTGATGCCCATGCCCATCATCTCCCGTCACTCTCATGGTGGTGGTGTACGATAGCAACGTTTCTTGCAGAACATGCTCTTGGCACCGATTCCTGTGCACACATTCCTTCCCTCCTCCTGTCCCCTTGTTCTATATCGCTCCTCCCATCCCGTTCCCCTCTTCACATATTCCTCTGTTCCCCTCACCCCCGTTGCACCAGCAGCAGCAACGGCTGCACGATCCTGTGGTGTCATTCCCGTCGCTCTTTCCGTCCCTCCTCCCCCCCCCCTATTCTCCCTCGCCTTTGCACCAACAGCAACGGCTGCACGATCCTGTGGTGGCAGCAGGCGGGGTGACGTATGAGGCGGCAAGTGATAGAGGCGTGGTTCTCACCACATGTCATTCCCGTCGCTCTTTCCGTCCTTCCTCCCCCCCCTATTCTCCCTCGCCTTTGCACCAACAGCAACGGCTGCACGATCCTGTGGTGGCAGCAGGCGGGGTGACGTATGAGGCGGCAAGTGATAGAGGCGTGGTTCTCACCACATGTCATTCCCGTCGCTCTTTCCGTCCCTCCTTCCCCCCCACTCTCCCTCGCCTTTGCACCAACAGCAACGGCTGCACGACCCTGTGGTGGCAGCAGATGGGGTGACATACGAACGGCAGGCGATAGAGGCGTGGCTCGCAGCACATGACACCTCCCCCAGAACCCACCTCCCCCTCCCACACAAGCATCTCACCCCGAATCTCATCCTGCTGGAACTGCTTTCCACCCTGGGCCTTCTGAATGGATCATAAGGGGGTGAACGGACGGAAGGTGGCAGGGTTCGGAGGTGGGCGGAGGAGAAAAGGCAAGGGGGAGAGGAGAGGTGTTGGGGGGGAGAGGGTGAGGAGGGTGGTAAGGCAAAGGGGGGTGCAAGGTTGGAAGGGGCGAGGGGGGGTTTGTTGAAGGGGAAGTGGTGGGGGAAACAGGGCAGGTGGAAGGTGTCTGGGGAGGAGGGGAGGACTTGGCGTATTGTACCTTGCTTACTGTTATGACTAGGCGCAGGGCCTAGTATTGTGAATAGCTAGTTCACAGGCAAGCACTTTCATTTATGAAAGTTCCTGAAATACTGGATGTAGGATGTAGGAAAGTAAGATATTGTGGGTGTAAGTAGTGTATGATCATGAGATAACTCTTACCCCCTGAGTTCTGTAGCCAGTATTAGAGCAAATAATTTGGGGGGTACATCAGGAACATTTATTTGCACTAGACGGTGGGTGGAGATTATGCAGTTCCGAATTAAAAGGGGCCTAACACTTACAGTCACATGCTTTGAGGTACAGTAAAGTAAATGATATACTACCTTTTTCCAAGCAAACAAAACGCGCTGCGTGACCGACTAGCGGATGCGGAAGTCGAACAGGGAGAAAGCCATCCTTCCAGCCAGATGCCACAGGTTGCGCGCTTCGCTTGTGTTTGTGTCGGGCACAAAAGGGCGGGGAGGGGCGGGCCACGGTCATACTTCTCGCAACTTCGATGGAAGTTGGGTGTCTCGTTTGGTTTGTCAGCTTGCAACGGAAGTCCATCAGCCAGAAAGAATGCTGCTCCAGTCAGGGGCTCAAGGAGGTGCTGCTGCCCAGAACATTTACCCTCGTCCAATCTCGTTGGTGTAACTCAATCTTCCTCCAATCACCCCACGCGCCAACACCAACCCGCCTCCCTTCAGCAACGTAGCAAATCCAATCCATCTTACAGCCTTCACCACGCTGAGCCATACTGTATCTTCAAACATATACAGTTACCGTGCACAACCAGTAGTGTAATGTTTCGCGCCCCTTGTTCGCGATACTGCACCACACATTTGTTCTAGTTGTTCACGTTGGACGCATTGTCACAACTGTATTTGGCCAGACAGTTGGTCAGACCACCATTTCATCAAAACGCTGTTTGGTCAGATCTCTTCGGGTAGTTAGCTTTGGCAGGGGTAATTGTAGCGACCCTGCGCTTTAAAGATTACTACAGTGCCAGCAGCGGGCAATTTCCACCCCTCCGTGCCTCAGACAGGGAAGTTATAGAAACAAGAAAGTACTCTTCCCCAAATTCACCCACGTGTCACCAAAATCCATGCCCCGTACTGTACTGGACGTTTTGACCATCTGTACGCAACAGACGTTTGTCCCTTCTGCCAAATAGAAACCAATCTGACCGCGGGCAAAAAATATAAACCCCGTTCGGATTGCATGCCATTAGGGTTGATGCCTCCCGAATTGCATGCCTTCCATGTGGGGTTTATTTGTTTTACTTGCCCGCTGACTCATTGCACTGCCTGCTGACGCAGGCCTCTCTTCCGAAATTTTGGGCGCGTAACAGTAGCCTATCAGATTTCGGAAACAGTGTGGCAGCCGAGCCACCCAGAGTTTTTTTTTTTTACGCAATGATACACTATAAAGAGCATACAGAGCATTGACAGTCGTAACTGTAGCCACCCAGAGTGTGGATTCGATTTGGAATTTGTGACACGTGGGTGAATTTGGGGAGAGTGCTGTCTTGTTTTCATAACTTCCCTGTCTGAGGCAGGGAGGGGTGGAAAGTGCCCTCTACTGGCACTGTAGTCCACTTCAAAGTGCAGGGTCGCTAGTAGGACCCCTGCCAAAGCTACTTACCTGATTTCTTCATCACCCACCAGAAACAAAATTCTGCATCCCTCTGGCGCTGCTCCCAGCGTGGCATACACTTTTTGTTTGGTCGATGCGATGGCCGCTTGTCTCTCAGACTTCCACGACTGTATGAACTAAGGACGCGTCTAGCTCCCGCTGATTTTGGTGATCGATCATGCAATTTGGATCAGCTACCGCACTTAAAACCTGTTTGTAGAGCTCAAAACAATCCAGAACGTTTTAAAAGCCATCAAATTCGATCCTGCGCAGGATCGATCGTGCCAATTTGATGGGAGTGACGCGTCCTAAAGGTAGTTGTTGCTGACTGCACCTTTTAGGTAGCTTCGCTGCTCATTATGATGATGATTAATGGCCAGCGAAACCTATACAAATGTTCTCGTTTATAGTCCGACGGACTGAGACGCTGCGCGCGGACTATGTGCGAAAACCTTCAAACCCCGGGCAAAACGCGATACTTATAGTCCCGTTCAGGAAAACTGCATGAACAGTGGTTTGTTTGCTAATAGTCTTTGGATTTGTCTTTTAAGTAGATTCAGTTCTCCGCGCTGATCAATGTTGCATGACAAACGGGCAAAGAAAAACAAAATCAATCATGGTTTGTGCGTCGAATATAAGGTAAAAACTTCTCGTTTACCTTGTAAGCGAGGTAAATGAGATGTCATTGTCGAGCGTGCTGGAGACCGCGCGACAGGATTGAGAATTAATCACGCTCAAGAGAAACAATTGCTTACAATTCCAAAGTTAAATATCGAATCAATGATCCCTTACTTCTCGTTCTCCCTGAATGTTGGGGCTGGTTCGATCTGGAGCCTCTGATTGGCTGCGGTGCTGATTTTTGCAATGATTCGGTCAAGCTGAAACAATTCCCGCCAAAAAAGGGACTATAGGGGTCGGCCAAACCCTAGGCGATATCGGAAAACTCTACACAAGGGGGAAACGTGACTCTTTCAGCGAAGGCCACTAACCCAGAACATTTGTATCCACTGCAGGTGGGTTCGGCCATGATAGAGCGGATTTGCGTGATTGTTTTCATCGGAGTCGACTAGTACTTGAAATTGGTCATTCTATCTGAGCAAGCTCAGGGAATCCAACTGTTGTTCCTTCCTTCCGCTTCCACTGCAAGACACTCATCGTGATTCTTTCGCCCTTTGGAAACGACTAGTGCGGAGAAAGTACCGTGTGACGTTTTAAGTCGCAATCGGCCCAGCTTAGACATGGTACCCGGCGATCAGCGTCGCACAGACGACGACGGCGATGAGGCTGCGACGCCGCTGTGGCTGCTGGAGGTGTCGCCGGACCATGAGAGCAGTCGCAGCACGCTTAGCGTCGCCCTAGCTGACGTGGACAGATTCCAGCGAGCCAATGACGGCGAGACACCTGTCATCGTGCTCGTCTCCGTCGTTATCGAGCCAGGATCCAAAACGTGAGCGACCAGGACTTTCTCAAGCAAGCTGTAGGCTTTCTCACACCCTCACTTCATACTCACAGTCGCTGTGCTGTGCGTGCCTCCGTCGTTTGTACGAAACGGAACCTTCGCTGTCCGAGCGAAGTCATGCGACCGATGCGATTCCACCCGTGCGATGACAAAGACCTATGGCGCGTAGTGTCTTTTCGTTTTCTTTTGTTTAGATTTTTTTTCATCGCCTCCTCCAGCTCGGCGCGCTACCCATTCCCCTCGCTAGATCTTTCATTCAGTCGCCTCTTTTTCCCCCTTCCGCGATGCTCTCCCTTCCGCCATCTCTTACCGTTCCGCCATGGCCCTTCTTTCCTCCGACAGCCGCGACACCGCGCAAGGAGCGGGCGCGGCATGGCGCCACGGAGGATCTGATTCTGCGCAGCGTCGTGCGGCCGATGCAGGCCATCGCGGAGAACAGGAAGGTGAGCGTGCGTGAGTCGGGGAAAGGGTGGGTGGAGGGGGGGGGGGGGGAGTGTGCGCGGGGGGGGGGGGGGGTGGGGGGGGTTCGGGAAGGGAAAGGGGAGAGGAAGGGGGGCGGGGTGGAGGGGGGAGGAAGGAAGAATCCGCTGATAGCAGAGAACAGGAAGGTGTGTGCGGAAAATATTCTGAAGGAGGGGGAAGAATGGTACGAAGAAGCGACGAAGGTCTGGCGACCATGGCAAGACAACGATTAAGGCGAGTTCGAAACGCTTGAGCGTGGGGTAATAGCTATTACCGCGTGGAAAATGCGTGACACAACCTGTTAAACCTTGGTGCTCGAATTCCCACGCTATCCTGTCCTTGCTGCTGGGCGCGATAGAGCGTTCGTTCGTGGTGGTTGTTAGTGCCGACTTATGATGATTTGATTCGAAGCCTCATGTCAGGAAACACAAGAGGCCTTCGCTTATCTGATGCAGCTTATAAGAGGAATATAGGCCACGGAACTTTTGATACCGCCGATAAGCGATGAGGCGAAATCGAGATTCAGTGATTCACTGATGGAGGTGCCGCGCTAACGGAAGTGGTTTGATCGATCCGAGGAAAGGCGGGAACCGAAATTCCCAAGGCCAGTCGGTCACGCATCGTGCTTTACGAGAGCGCGCGAAAACGAACTTCCAGAGGCCGGTGCGTGGCGGTAACTAATGCTTCCGAGCAGCTGAAAGAACGACCGATTTCAAAAACCCTAGAGAATGATAAATGATTCAGCTAATTGCAAAAGGCTTATCAATTCACATATCAATTCCAGAACTGTTTCGGGTGAATAACGAACAAAAAGAACGCTATGAGACTTCTTAAAAAACCATTGACCTCAATTTTCGTTGTACCTCCCCCTTCCCCACCTTCCCACCCCCCCTTCCTCCCCTCCCCCCCTTCCACACTCTCCCTCTTTCCTCCCTTGTTTTTCTCTGCAGTGAGAGCAGGCGGCCCTTAGAGTCGACTCTAACGCATCCCTCCGCCCTCCTCCCTCCCCCTCCCTCACCAGGTGTAGCAGAGGCACACATGGAACGCAGTAGAGCAGGCGACTCGTGAGTCCACTCAAGCACACCTCGAGTTCTCAACCCCTACTCCCCTCTCTCCCCCATCTCCCCCCACCAGGTGGCAGCGGAGGCACACATGGAGCGCAGTGAGAGCAGGGAAGCGGGCCTGTGTGCGGCTGTTGTACACCTGCAGGCACAGCGGCTGTACATCGGCGTGAAGAGGTGAGGTGGGGTGTATGTGAGGAGGTGAAGAGGTGAAGTTGAGGGGATACGTAGACCATGGGGGTTGGATCTGTGTGGCGCTGTGGCGCTGTGGCGCGCTTGCAGGCACAGCGGCTGCACTTTGGTGTCAAGAGGTGAGGGAGGGGATGTGAGGAGGCGAGGTGTTGACGAGGTGAGGAGGTGAAGAGGTGAGGAGGTGAGGAGCAACTTGTTTTCAGGCGTGTGAGAGGGGTCCGTGTCCCCCTTCTCTTGCCATTCCTCCCCTCGTCTTGAATGATCGTTACACTTCATGAGAAGCAAGTACGGAACAAGTAACCCTCTCTCCCTCCCCTACTCTCCCCTTCCCTTCCACCCTTTCTCTCCCCTACTCTCCCCTTCCCTTCCACCCTTTCCCTCCCCTACTCTCCCCTTCCCTTCCACCCTTTCCCTCCCCTACTCTCCACTTCCCTTCCACCCTTTCCCTCCCCTACTCTCCCCTTCCCTTCCACCCTTTCCCTCCCCTAATCTCCCCTTCCCTTCCACCCTCTCCCTCCCCTACTCCTCTCTCATCCACCCTCTCCCTCTCCCTCCTGTGCTCCCTGATTTCTACGAATCGCCTCTCCTTCCAGGAAGCTTCTGTGGGGCGGGGATTCATCGGTGGTGCATTACTGTGAGGCCCATCTGCCACAGGGCTGCCTGCTCGTGCTCACACAGGGCGGTAAACGAGTCAAGGAGCTTATAGCGAGTACAACAAGCCACGCCACCAGCCAGGGAAGTGCTGCTGCTGCCAGAGGTGGCAGTGGCAGTGCTGCTGGTAATGCTGCTGCTGCTGCTGCCGGCGGTGGTGGTGGCCGTAGGAGGTCTCAGGATTCGCCCCAGCACGCACAGCAGCAGCAGCAGCAGCAGCAGCAGCACCATGAGCAGCAGCAGAACGGAATTTTTTACCAGGACTATGAGCAACAGTTGCAAGACGAGCATTTGGCAGACGAGGAGGAGGAGGAGGAGGAGGGTGCAGCGGAGCTGAAGCGAAGCATCAGTGCGGGGAATGAGCTGAGGAACCGACGATATAGACCTGGCATGTACAGCAGCAGCGGTATCAGTGGCGGCGGCAGCGGTGGGAGAAGCGCGGAAAGAAGCCCGACAGAAGGAGCAAGGGGAGGGGGAGGGGGAGGGGGTGGTGGGGTGGTGGGTCTTGTGCGGGCGGGAAGCTATGGGCGGCATATAAGGAGTAGGAGCATAGGAGGCATGTTTCCCATCAGCGGCAGCACAGGCAGCCCAGGGAATAGCAGCGGCGGTGTTGCTGCTGGTGCTGGTGTTGCTGGTGGTGGGGGGAGTGGTGGGAGTGGCAGTGGTGGTGGTGGTAGTGGGGGTATGAGGCGTGTATTTCAGAGGAGAACACGCAAGCAGAGCAACAGCTTTTCCGAGTCTGAAGATGAAACCCCACTTGTCCGGACCAGCACCGGAGGCTCGGAGACGCACCGCTCACCCTACCACCTCAACATCCTAGGTCCGGGAAAGCGGGCAGTTTCGGTTTCAGGCTCGACAACCGGACCTGCCGAAGATCCAGATGATTCAATCCACGCCAGGGGTACCAAGCCTCCTCCCAGACCTCCCCGAGGCTCGGGACGAGGATCGGAAATGGAGGACGGGGAGTATGAGGGGGAGGACGGGGAGCACACGCCTCCCCGGCCTGTCCTACGCTCCCGAACCTCCCCTTCCGGACGGTTATGGGGGGCAGGCGAGCTGGATGGAGCAACAGCAGCAACAGCAGCATCGGCAGCAGCAGGCAGAACCCCATCTTCTGGTGCTGGCAGTGCTGGTGGTGCTGGCAGTGCTGGTGGTGCTGGCAGTGCCAGTAACGCTGCCATTGGTGGCAGTGGTGGCAGCTACAGCGGCGGTATGCCTTCCCTCTGTGCTTCAACTGCCTCGTCTGCTCGCACCATGTCTCGCACTCTCAGCCGGGAACGCAGGCAGCAGGCAGCAGCGGGAGCGGCGGGAGCAGGAGGTCAGCTCACCTCAGCCGCTGCTGCCATCTCTAACACGGCATCCTCTCCTCTCCCTCCCCCCTCCCTCCCCTTCCACTTCTCCCCCAAGGTTCTGATCCCTTCTCCCTTTTCCTCTAATTCCGGTCTTCTTATCACGGAAGGTGATAATTATGGTGGTGATTATAACGATGAGCCAAGGCCTGGGACGCCCCGGGGAGAGACTGAGAAAGAGGCTCGGTTGCTGGGAGCGTCTAGGTTCGGCCCGAGCCAAGGGATGGAGGCTCGGCAAGGGGAGAGGGGTCGGCACAACAGGGGGATGTCTTGGGCTGGTCCTGAGTTAATGGGGGAAGGGAGTGGGGGGTTCAGAATTTCACCTGGTGGGGGGGATGGCAGGGGTGTGGGTGCATGTGATGGTGTGGGTGGGGGGGCTGATGGTGGGGGTTATAATGGTGGGGGTTATAATGGTGGGCAGTGGCGCTACACTTCTCATCTTGCTTCCCCTACTTCCGCCGGCCTCCCTCCCATCCCATCACCCTCCTCTACCACCACCTCGCGGCCCAACATTGCGGATCAAGTGGTGGCACTGGCAGGGCAGTGGGAGGTGCTTGCACAGATGGGGGGGGCGAGGCAGGGGGGAGAGGGGGCAGGGGGAGCAGCAGGGGGAGCAGCAGCGGGGGCAGGTACTGCTGGGGGAGGTGGGGCTGTTAGACCGGCTCAGGCGACTGATCTGTCCTCCCGCCCCCGGCGCACTGTGCCGAAACATTTCCGGGCAGGTAGCTGGGATCCGGGCAGGTTAGGCCTGAGTGAGGACTCGTTTTTGGAGAGTGTGAGAGGAGGAGGGACAGCAGGGGCAGGGAAAGGGGCAGGCGGAAAAGGAGGAGGGGGAAGCGGAGGGGGAGGGGGGAGGGGGAGGGGGGAGGGGGAGGTAGCAGGACTCCCCCCTTGCCTCCGGAAGGGACGGCAGCCGGAGGGAAAGGAGGAGGAAGCTTCCGAAAGGGAATGCTGCGAAGGAAGGGGAGCGGGCAGTGGGGGGAGGGCCTTGGCGGATGGATGGGCGGAGGGGGGAGGTGGGGGAGGAGGAAGAAGAGGAGTCGATGGGGGATTCGGGGCGGAGAGAGCTAACGGGGATGATGGAGAAGAGGAGCAAGGCAACAGCATGGAAGGAGGGGCGCCCCTGCGCCGTGCTCTCTCCTCCACCTCCCCGGGCCTCTCCTCCTACCCCATGGATGCCCATGCAGGGTTCGCTTCGGGCTTGCTCACTGCTTTCCCCGCCACTGGCTCGCCGGACCTGCCAGGCTCGGCGCCCGGACGTCGCGGTGCTGGTGAGGCTTGGCACAGGCTGCCCAAGATGCCGTCCAGCAATGGCCGGCTCGGCGAGGAGGGCCGGCCGGGGCTGCTGGAGGTTGGGCGGGGAGGCGGGGGGTTGGTTCGGGATTGGATCCTGGGGCAGGGTGCAGCAGGAGGGCAGGGAGGGGAGGGGGAGGCAGGGAGAGAGAGGGAGGAAACATCTGGAAGAGGGGGAGGAGGGGGAGGAGGGGGAGGAGGGGAAGCGGAAGAGGGGAGTGTGAGTGGGAGCAGCAGCAGGAGTGGATTGGACATGGATATGCTGATGGGGGAGTTGCAGCAGCTGAGACAAGAGGCCCTTGCGAAGCAAGTAGCGGCCCAAGCTCAGTTCTGCAAGGTGCTGTGCGGTGCTGTGCTGTGCTCTCCCTCGCCATGCCATGGTGTATCGTCTCAAGTCAAGTGTGGCTTTCCATTTTTTTTTCTTGTCATCTCCACTCCTTTTTTAGCTTGTTCCCCTCACATTTGTGCCTCTACCTACTCCTCTATCTCAAGTCACATTTGTGCCTCTACCTACTCCTCTATCTCAAGTCACATTTGTGCCTCTACCTACTCCTCTATCTCAAGTCACATTTGTGCCTCTACCTACTCCTCGCTCGCCCTCCTATTCTCCTTGCCCCCTCCACAAGTTTCAAGTGAACTCGCCTTCACATCTAAAACTTGAACCCTGTGTAGAGATGTGCCTCCACAAGTTTCAAGTGAACTCACTGGGGGCACGTCCCAGTTGAGAGATGTGAACTCAAGTTTCACAAGGTCTTGCTCCACATCTCTCGTTCTCCTGTTCTCTCAGCCAATGTTTTTTGAGAATTCTCAAAAAAACATACGCTGTTTCACAAGGTCTTGCTCCACATCTCTCGTTCTTCTGTTTTCCACAAACCCTTACCCTCCCCCCCCCCCCTCCCCCCCCCCCTCTCTCTTTCTCCTCCCCGCAACCCCACATCCCGACCCCAACAATCTCTATCGTTGATGCGGCCCAAGTTTTTTTTCTCGCTTTTCTCCAAATCCGCCATTCTACCAAATCCAGGGCGAAGATGCCAGCAACCCGCACTCCTCCAGCAGCTCCGACCTCTATCCCCGCAGCAGCAGCGCCAACGCTCCTCCCACTTCCAACCCCAGCCAGAGCAACAGCAAGAGCAGCAGCCGCACCTACAGCCGCAACGTCACGGCTTCGGCCAGCGCCGGCAGCGGCATCGGCGGCGGCAGCGGCGGTGGCAGCGGTGGCGGCAGTGGCGATCCGGGCAGCAGCATGCTACGAAGTGCACTGGCAGCTGAGGGCGACCTGAGTGACCTGAGCGATTTCACTGATTTCACTCATGTGCTGCCGGGTCTGCCTGGCGTCTCAGGCCGTGCTAGTGGCATGGGCATGGGGCGTGCTGCTGCTGCTGCTGTTGTGGTCAGATCTAGACGAGGGAGTGGGGGAGCCGGGTATGATGCAGAGGTCTGGGAGGATGGGGAGGAAGATGAAGAGGAGGGGGAGGAGAGGGACGATGGAGAAAGGGGCAGGAGTGGGCAGGCTCCTGGGCCTACCGCTGCTGTGGGCAACCATGTAAGACGAACTCAAATTCCAGCCCTTTTTAGAGACTTAACTATGTATCCCGGACCCCACTCCCGGACCCCACTCCCGGACCCCACTCCCGGACCCCACTCCCGGACCCCACTCCCGGACCCCACTCCCGGACCCCACTCCCGGACCCCACTCCCGGACCCCACTCCCGGACCCCACTCCCGGACCCCACTCCCGGACCCCCACTCCCGGACCCCACTCCCGGACCCCACTCCCGGACCCCACTCCCGGACCCCACTCCCGGACCCCACTCCCGGACCCCACTCCCGGACCCCACTCCCGGACCCCACTCCCGGACCCCACTCCCGGACCCCACTCCCGGACCCCACTCCCGGACCCCACTCCCGGACCCCACTCCCGGACCCCACTCCCGGACCCCACTCCCGGACCCCACTCCCGGACCCCACTCCCGGACCCCACTCCCGGACCCACTCCCGGACCCCACTCCCGGACCCCACTCACGGACCCCACTCCCGGACCCTTTTTGGACCCCGGGAAGGGAAGCGGCTCTTCCACCTCCTCCTCTGACCCCACCGAGTTTGTTCGCAAGGTCACTGAGCGCGCCCACCGTGTTTCCTCCCTTCCCCTCTTCCCACTCCCTCTTCTCCTCTCCAGCCCCCCTCTGATGCAGGTCTCGGTGGTGATGGTGCTGATGGTGATGACGTGGGAAGCTGCTCCTCCACCTCCTCCACCTCCTCCTTTGACTCCTCCGAGTTCGTCCCTTCCCCCTTTACCCCCCCATCCCTCAATACATACACTCCAGCCCATAGCAGGAAGCATGGGAGACGGCAATGCAGACCCCAACGGCAACAATGGTGGAGAGGTGAGGACGCGGGAACCTGCTCTCCCACCCACCTCCTCCACCACGGGGTTCGTTCCCAAGGTCATGGAGCGCGCCCGCCTTAATGGCTTCCTCCATTCCCCATCCAACCCCACCTCCCTTCCCTCCCCTCCCCCCCCTCCCTTCCCTTCCCTCCCCTCCCCTCCCCTCCCCTCCCCTCCCCTCCCCTCCCCTCCCCTCCCGTCTCCTCCCCTCCCCTCCCCTCCCCTCCCCTTCCCTCCCCTCTCCTCCCCTCCCCTCCCCTCCCCTCCCCTCCCCTCCCCTCCCCTCCCCTCCCCTCCCCTCCCCTCCCCCCATCCAACCTCACCGCCCTTCCAACCCCGTCCTCCCCCACAGCCTGTTGCAGACCCCAACGACGATGCAGGAAGCTGCTCCTCCACCTCTTCATTCGACTCCACGGAGTTTGTGCGCAAGGTCACGGAGCGCGCCCGCCTCGCTGCCTCCGCCTCTGCCAACGCTGCCTCTGCTGCTGCCGCCGGTGCTTGCAGCGCAGTAGATGGGGTGAGTGGGGATTGAAGAGTGATATTGTGCGCATAGGCTGGGGCTGGGGCTGGGGTCATGGGCATGGGCATGGGCATGGGCATGGGCATGGGCATGGGCATGGGCATGGGCATGGGCATGGGCATGGGCATGGGCATGGACATGACCGTTTACAAACGTTTCAACCACCACCTTTGTGGGATCATCATCATCGTCGTTTCAAATGCGGAATGCATCAATTCTTACAAGATTTCTAACCACCTGATAGATTTCTAACCACCTGATAGATTTCTAACCACCTGATAGATTTCTAACCACCTGATAGATTTCTAACCACCTGATAGATTTCTAACCACCTGATAGATTTCTAACCACCTGATAGATTTCTAACCACCTGATAGATTTCTAACCACCTGATAGATTTCTAACCACCTGATAGCATCCAACGTTTTCTATCGCCCTCTTTCATGTTTCCTTTTTCCCCATCCTATCCCTTCCTTCTTTCCCCTCCTCCCTCATCCATCCCCCACCCACCCACCTCCAATCACCCCTCCAGCACCACACACCCACAGACCTCTCCCCCAACATCACCTCCTCCTCCTCCCTCCATCCCCCTCCCAGCCACCACTCCTCCTCCCTCCACGCCCCTTCTCTCTCCGACTCTCTCGACCCCTCCGCCCATGCCTCCTCCTCCGCAGATTGCCGCCGCTTCTCCCTTCCCCAACTCCTCGAATGCACCGATGGCTTTTCCGACGGGAACCTTCTGGGAAGGGGTGCGTACGGTCCGGTATACCGAGGCCAGCTGTTCGGGTGCCTGGTGGCAATCAAGAAACTGGAACAGGGCAGCGACCAAGGTCCGGCGGAATTCCGAACCGAAGTGGAGGTTCTGAGCAAGGTTCGGCACCCACACATTGTGCTCTTAATGGGTCACTGCCCGGAAGAAGCTTGTATCGTGTACGAATTCCTCCAGGGCGGGAATCTCCAGGAGAGGATCGTCCGGGCGGGGGACAACCCTCCGCCGCCCCTCCCCTGGCACGATCGAATCAGAATCATATCGGAGATCTCCGGCGCGCTGCTCTACATGCACCGGCATGACCCGCCGATTCTCCACCGGGACTTAAAGCCCGACAACATTCTCCTAGACGCCAACTCCATCTCGAAAATCGCCGACGTGGGCCGCGCTCGGCTGATCCCCAACGAGGTCTCGGCAGTTACCTGGAAGGTGCGGGGCACAGCCGGGTACATCGACCCAGAGGAGCTTCAAACGGGAGAGCTGTCGGTGAAATCGGATATCTACGCGTTTGGTCTGATCGCGCTGCAGCTGCTGACAGGGCTGAAGAATGTGAAGCTGGTACACGGGTTGCTGGCGGCGTGCGGCACGGGCACGAGAAACACCGAGGAGGCGACAGATTTGATTGTGAAGAGCCTGGATCGGTCGGCTGGGAAGTGGCCGGAGAGGCTAGTGAGGCGGGCGACGAGGGTGCTGGTGCGGTGTATTGAGAGAAGGAGAGTGAATAGGCCGGATCTGGGAGGGGAGATTCACCCGCTGCTGGGGGAGATTGCAGAGGAGGCGATGGAGGAGAAGAACAGGCGGGCTAAGGAGCTTGACGGGCGGTTTGTGTGCCCTCTGTCTCATGTAGGTGTTGCTTTCTTGCTCTCCCCCTCTTTCTCGCTCTCTCCCTCTTTCTCGCTCTCTCCCTCTTTCTCGCTCTCTCCCTCTTTCTCGCTCTCTCCCTCTTTCTCGCTCTCTCCCTCTTTCACGCTCTCTTCACCCATGTAGACGCACTCTATCTCTCATACACAGCAGCTCGTGGCCAAGCCTCCATGTGACTTTTGAGAATTCTCAAAAGTCACACGAATATAGCTGGCCTCCATGTGACTTTTGAGAATTCTCAAAAGTCACACGAATATAGCTGGCCTCCATGTGACTTATGAGAATTCTCAAAAGTCACTCGAATATAGCTGGCCTCCATGTGACTTTTGAGAATTCTCAAAAGTCACTCGAATAAAGCTGGCCTCCATGTGGCCGCCTTGTGCTCCTGGCCTCTCACTCACCTGGCAGCTGCTGACATCACATGTGACGTTACTTGCTTTCCGCTTTCCTTGTGCTGTGATTATCACAGGAGAGGATGAGAGACCCAGTGGTAGCAGCGGATGGGCACACGTACGAGCGCGAGTCCATAGAGACATGGCCCTGCACCAGTGGGGTCTCGCCTGTCACCGGACAGCCCCTGGCAGCACAAATAAAAGTACTTGTTTTTCTTCCTTCTTTTTGTGACTATTGCAGGAGAGGATGCGCGATCCGGTGGTAGCAGCGGACGGGCACACGTACGAGCGCGAGTACATTGAGACTTGGCTCGCCACCAGCGGGGTCTCGCCTGTCACCGGCCAACCCCTGCCCCACCGCGCCCTCACCCCCAACTTCATCCTCGCCTCGCTCATGGACTCCATGTGATGACATGGCGTGTCATGTGGTGTGGTATGGTATGGTGTGGTGTGGTGTGGTGTGGTGTCATGCCAGAGGTTGTTTGCTGCACACAAGGTACCCCATCTCACCCCCAACTTCATCCTCGCCTCGCTCATGGACTCCATGTGATGCTATGGCATGTGGGGTGCTGTGGTGCCATGTGGTGTGATGTGGTGCCATGTGGTGTGATGTGGTGCCATGTGGTTTGATGTCGTGGCAAGTGGTATGGTATCTACTGACAACATGAGATGACACGTGTCATTGTTGGTGGTATGTGCTGCCGCAACAAGGTTCTGACGCATTGACTCAGAAAAACCACCGAGGACGTGTGCGTGTTGCCCCACACAGGGCCCGCAGGGCTCTACTCCCCCAACCAGCAGCTGTTTCAGTTTTCTCTTTACCACCATACAAGTTTCAACAATCCATGATGGTGCAATCAACCATTGTAGCCACGTCCTGATCAGATGTACCATAATCAATGGCTTGTTGGTAATTATGTGATTTGCCATGTTCTGGCTTGGTGCGGCTTGAATTGAACGAGTAAAACTGTTGATTTTTCCCTGTATTACCATAACGCGCACGACTGCTTGTTGCAACTCCCTGGACACAGCTCGTTAGCCTGAATGTAACAATGCTCTTCCCAGGGGTCCGTGAATAACGTACCACAGGTTAAACAAAGAAACCATCTGAAACAATATACCTACCTCCCTCTCCTCTCTGTCCCCCCCCACCCGGCATCTCCCCTTCACGGCACCATACCACCACCACCTCAATCTCCTCACAAAAAAGCCGGGAATCTTGACGAGGCACAGAGACTGACTATGGGACAAAGGATGAACAAATGGAGGGGTGACAGATGAGTATGAAAGGGGAGAGAGATGTTAACACAGGAGGCGAGCAGGAGGGAAGGGTAAAAGTTACTGGTATGAGGGGAGACAGAAGTAGATTCATGCAGCAGACGTTAACACAGGAGGCGAACAGGAGGTAACCAAGACGAGCAGGATGCACGATAGAGAAAGGGCCGGTGACAGTGGCACGGGAGAATGACACGGGAGGGAACAGCTCAAGTGAAGGGAGCAAGCAGCAGAGAGCAAGGTTTCGGGTATCGTTGGGAAAAAGAGATGAGGGTGACTGGCGGTTCGGGAAAGAGGCCGTTCCTTGACCGTTGGATCAAAGTGCGGAAATGGCGAAGAAAAGAAGGGTGAGAGAAGGTTAGAACGCGCGTAACTCAATACCACACGATTAGCGAAGAATTCTGCTGGTACAGTAGAATTTGAACAAGGCAGTACTTTCCATCAATATAGGAGGCTGTCATCTCGTACGCGACATAAGATCCGCACACGCAGGTGCTCAAGAAATGAATATGAAATTACATACGACTCAAGACGTCGTCCTAACTACTGTAGATTCGGCACGGAAGCGCGTGTCGTCAATGCCCAGATGGCTTGCTTCCGAGTTTCGACGCCATGCCGTCAACAAACAAGTAGACGGCAAACGCCGACACGGCAATCCCTAAGCCTGGGAGGCCGTGTCGCAGCTGGTTCTTCAGCAGCGGGTGGTGCCTATACGCGTCATTGCGCCTGAAGAACTCGCCCGGTCCGCTCATCGTGCTGGATGAATTAGGCGGAGAGAACTAGAACAAGATACGTCTTTAGTTGCAAAGCCTAAATCCCTGCCGAAAGTTGTTGCTGGAGGAAGGTGTAGGATACCCTAACAGCTGTGACGACTTGCGACGTGTGCGAATTTGGCAGAATTTAGACGAAGTACAATTAATGGTATCCAACTGACGAAGGTGTTGCTCTCTGCACAATCTCGCGGACTTTTGGAGCTGTATTGTGGTAACAGGAAAGGATTTTGTTTCGCATTGTGGGAGGCTTCGCGAACACGGGGAATAGGGGTCGTAGGAGACAGGACAACATCAAGGCTTCTCTGTAGGAGAAACCTCTTAAAATGTCTCAACTAATTATGAGACTTATGGCGGTGTTCGCCAGCAACTCAGAAAACGACAGCATTTTGGCGGCATTGGCATGGTGACCGCATCCGGAACCGGGGTCGAAACCCGCCCAAGAGGTCTGGGCGTAATGCGGTCCGCGAAACTTCAATCCCCAAAACAGGAAATTTCACAACCGCATATGGAACCCCCAGCCCCACCTTCCTCATCTAGTGGCGCGAATTTTGAAAAAAAAAAAAAAAAAAAAAAAAAAACAATCTCAAATACAACCCCCGATACCAAGTCATGCGCGGGAGGCACTACGAAGGTGTGTTCGGGAGGGGATAAATGGGGGGGGGGGGGGTATTCAAACGGGCCTTTGCCAAACAAATGGCTTGTTCATAGGTTCCCCTCTGAACAGCAATGCGACGGCTGTGCCATCGCTGTGCTTCGAAAAACGCGGCATGGCGATGGCATGGCTTGGGGATAGAACTTTGCCTGGGAACGAAGTTGCGTCCCCACTTCCATATGTCATCGAGCAGTTCGTTGAGGTGGACAAATGGGGGCGTTCGCCACACACCCACTTTGATTGTTGGTTTGGACGGTTGGGGAGGTCTTAGAATCTAGGCATCAATGATGTTGACTATCGAGAGAATTGGTACAAGGAGAAAACCCTAAGGGGTTATACCCCACAGTATCTACCCCACTACACCCTACCCACAAATATAACATATGCATATCTTTGACACACCCCCATAGGCAAAGTGGGGGAGAGCAAGAGCTCACAAGACCAGTCAAGCAAAGCAAAGCAAGCTCAGGGTGGATCACAACGTCACCACACACACTGAGCATAAGCAAAAGGCCACAAGGCCAATTCACATGCAGAGGTATATATACAACAAGAACAGTACAGTGATCTCTACTTAGCAAGTGTAAGCATGCAGGTACATATATATTGATCAGAATACAAGCAGAGTCTACAGCAAGTGTGGAAATGTAGGCACAAGGCCCAACAAAGTACAAAAGTGCAGATGATCACTAGACGGAAAGGCCTTGGTGAATATATCAGCAGTGTTGGCCCGACTGGCCACGTGAGCAAGATGAAGCTGACCCCGCTGCTGCAACTCTCGAGCCAAGAAGTAACGCAGAGCGATGTGCTTCGTTCTGTGCTCCAGTTTGTGCTCGTGACACAAGGCAATCGCTGCCTTGTTGTCGACGTACAGAACTGGACGAGAACGAAGTCTCTCTCCCAAGTCGGTCAGCAGGTAGGTGAGCCAGCGTAACTCCTGTGCAGTCATGGCTATGGCGTAGATCTCAGCCTCACAACTGGAGCCAAGATCAGAAGACGAGCGAGTAGACCGCCAAGAAACAGAGCCAGAGCCAAGACTGAAGGTGTAACCCTATGACGACCGCTGCGTAGCCTGGTCGTCAACCCAAGAAGCGTCTAAGTGACCAGTGAGGACAACGTCGCCCCGTCCTCCAAGCACGAGCCCCATGCCTGATGTACTGCACAAGTAGCGCAGTACCCTCTTAGCAACATCCATGTGCACCTTTCGGTGCCGACCAGGAGCCACGTAGTGAGCCAGAAGGCCAAGAGGGTACGCAAGGTCAGGACGAGTGCAAGTCATCTGGTACATGAGGTAGCAAACTAGCTCTGGGTAAGGACCACTCGGCTCTACGGACTCATCCGAAGGTGGAGCTGAGAGCGAATGACTTGTAGCCAGAGGAGTGGCCTGTGCCGAGGACCATGTGAAGCGGAAGCGCTGAAGGACCTGCTGCACCATGTGTGACTGAGTCAGTGTGATGGTGCGGCGTGCTCTGTCCCGGGTGATCTGCAAGCCAAGGTAGCTGCGCAGCTCACCCAGGTCTGTGCACGTGTGTCTCTTCTGCAGCTCCGACTTCACCAAGGCGAGAGCCTTAGTGTCAGCAGTGACAAAGACCAAGTCGTCGACGTACATGATGATGTAGAACGGGGGCAGCGAAGTGTCTGTGCGTAGAAACAGCGACGGGTCAGCAGTCGAAGGAGCAAACCCAAGAGCCGCAAGTGTCGTCCTCAGTGTGTCGTGCTACTTACATGGCGCCTGGTGGAGACTGTAGACCGGCCCCCGGAGACTCCACTGGGTACCAGGAGGGAACGACCCAGTGAAGCCAGGCGGCCGGCGCAGCCAGATCTCCTCGTGCAGGCTGCCCTGTAGGAAAGCTGTGCTGAAGTCAAGAGAGTGAAGCTCGTAGTCACGCTGAGCGGCAACATGCAGTAGTACCCGAAGGGTGGTCATCTTCGGGGTGGGGGAGAAGGTCTGGAAGAAGTAAACTCCCTCTCGCTGACTGAAGCCTCAAGCAATGTAACGAGCCTTGAAGACAGGCGGAGAACCTGGCGGTCGCTTCACCCTGAAAATCCACATGCCGTCGACGATGTTCGCCCGAGGAGGGGGAACCTCGTCGACGTAGGTGCCTGTGGACTTCCAGGATGCCATCTCTGCGTCCATGGCTGTCTGCCACTGAGAAGAGTACTCACCCGCGATCGCCTCAGCGTAAGAGCGCGGGGTCGGGATGTCTAGTGCATCCGGGTCTCCCTCAGGGGCAAGCAGCATGGCCACGAGATGAGGCGCAGCGGCCGCAAGACACTCAAGGTCCTCGTGCCTGTCCTCAAGAACGTCCGTGCTAAGAGCACACTCACCCCCGACGGACGGAGGATAGACAGACTCAGACTCAGCAACAAGACTAGCAACGTACTCTAGACGACAGGTATTTGCAAAGTCAACAAGTTTAGCGACTAGGGCAGACGCAGCAGTGGACTCAAACGACTAACAGACGCGTGACAGTAGGGTGCGTAGTACGAAACTGGTCAGACTCAGGGTCCGCAACGTTAGGCAGAGAGGACACAGGTGGAGAAGGCAGAGGAGCACGCTGCGGAGGAGAGGAAGGACGACGAACTACGAGGTGGGTGCCGGGGACAGCCGGCTGACGCGGACGAGGAACACGACGACCGGAACGACCAGAACGGACAGGCGAGATAGGACTTGATTCAGGCTCACGACGCTGAGCGAAGAGCTTGTCCACGGTGGTATCGCGGAAAAAGGCACGAGCACCCAAGACCCGAAAACGCGACGCATCGCCAACCTTCCCCGTCCACAGCAGTGTGGGCGAGGTCTCCGGCAAGGAGACACGGGGCCAGAGGTTGAGCTGATGCGCGGCGTACCGGACCGCAAACGGCCACAGAAAATGGGGGGCAGCCGCATGGATCATGGAGGTACGAGCGACCTCCATGACTAAGCCAATGCGGCGCTCAACAACCCCATTATGCTGCGGAGAGACCGTAAGCGTGAACGTTTGGCGGATGCCGTGCTCCGCACAGAAGGCTGTCAAGAGGTCTGAGGAGAACTCACCACCCTTGTCAGAGTGCAGACGCAGGACAGGAAAGTCCGAGTGGAACCGCTCGCGGAGCTGGAGATGAACAGCGCGGATTCAGGGGATCAAAACATGAGGGACCTCTCCCTTGCGCTGCAAGGGGGAGACCGTGGTGTAACGCGTGTAGTCGTCGACAACCAGCAGGAAATACCGCTCGTGGCCCTGTCCACGGACGTGGGCTGGGCCCCACACGTCCAGGTGGAGAGTCTGTAGTGCAGCCTCTGTGGGAGGGAACGAGGAGGAGTAAGGAGCGGCGCGCTGACACAAGGAATGCAGGGCGGTGCGAGGGAGGGAGGGTGGGGATTGACCTGGGAAGGCCAGAGACCAGGAAGCGAGAGTGCATGCTACGAAGGCGAGGCAGGGAGGGGTGACCAAGGCGGTGGTGCCATAGGAGAGTGTCGCGCGACAGTCGGCGACACTCACACTGGGAGCTACCTGAGCAGACGCGTACAGGTGGGGAGACAAAGGGGTGGAGCGCGACGCAGTGGTGAGGGTGTACAGACTGGACCCAGGCGCACGTGTGAACGTGGCCAGGTGACGGCTGGTCCGGGAGCACGTGCAGATCGCCACACGCTGTCCTCCAGGAGTAAAGGTGTCAACCCAGTGATCCTGAAGGACGGCGTTGCTCACCAAGTTCGTGGAGAACAAGGGGAGGTGGAGACCAGACAGCTCACCAGACGAGACCGCCGGACACGGAAGCACAGTGGAAGACCGTGTAAGACCTGGGCCCCCAGAGGGGTCAGCCACTGAGACAGGAACAGGTGCAGGGAGGGAGTGACTGTGGTGCTGTCGCGAAAGAAACAGCGGGAAAGCACCAGAGTCAAGTGTGAAGGTGTGCAAGACCTGTGCGGACGCAATACCAGGGGGAACAGACTCACAAGCACCTAGTGCCACAGGCGCTATACCTGGGCCTATACCGGGGTTAGGCGGCACACAGAAGTAGCAGTCACCCTCAGCACTAATAGTCAATGCATACATGGCATCAAGAATAGTTTCATAGTCAAGATCAAAGATAGGTACATCACGCCTAAGCAGGTCTGCCCATTTGGGGAACTCAGTAGCATCAGGAAACTTGACGCGCCAGGCGTCGCTAAGCCGAGCGAAGCAGCGGTACTCAGTGTGAAACCCTGTGCACTGACGACCAGTGCGGGGACTTGTGCGAATGATATAGGGGCAGCTACCAGGACCCCCAGACGCCCCACGCCCGGCATACCAGTGAAGAAGCTGCTGGGAAGTGGGGGTCTGGCGCTGACGTTGCTGCTGCTGCTGTCCCTGGCCACCACCGGCCTCACCCAAGCCCCCACCACCGCCGCCACCACCACTCCCCCCTCCGCCACCCCCGCCGCTGCCACCGCCACCGCTCCCGGCACCACCACCGCCCCCACCCCTACCTCCACCCCCACGACCACCGCCACCACCTCCACCGCCCCCGCCGCCTCCACCAGCGCCCCCTCCACCGCCACGTCCGCCACCCCTGCCACCCTTGCCTCCCTTGAAGCCGCTGCGCTTCCCACTCGGAGCAGAAGTAGCTGCGACCTTCTCAGCACCAAGGAGGTCGACAGCAGCAGCTGCGGAGGCGTAGGAAGGGGTGAGAGGGGAGGGGGAGCACCCCCCAAAGAGGGGAGTGCGGGGAGTGCCACGAGCAGCACCTACAGCTAGAATGTTCTTCTTGTCTGCTAGGAGGTGCTTCTCGAGGTCGTTGACAGTGAGAGAATGGGGGTCAAGGGCGAGGAAGTGGTCCCTGACTGAGCGAAGAGTGTCAGGGAGGCGGGTGATGAGGAAGTAGAGAGTAAAGTACATCGAGGGGTGGTTCTCTACGAGAAACTCGGCTGGAAGGGCGTCACAAAGGCGAGTGTCACTAGCGTGTAGGTGAGAGATGAGGTCCTCAGCAGTGGTAAACGAGGACAGGTCGGGGAACAGGTAGGGTAGCATAAGTCGACCGAGGATTGGTGCTGGCGAACATCCCCATGGTCCCCGGAGAAACCGCCCTGTAAGCTCGCTCACCACGACAATGTTCAACTGACACGGATACCGTACATAAATCTTCCCGTTTAACATATAATACAAACTTGACAGGTACAACCATATTTTCCCAGCCATAGCTGCAGAGCCTGTACACTCCGATTGTAAAACACAGTTATTGCTATCCAACAGTGAATGACGCCTTGATTCCGTCACTGCAGTCATTATTGGCTTTGCTGCTGAAATAAATAGTATTGCCGTAGTCTTTGCCGACCACCTTGTAGATGTACATTCCGTAGTTACGACTGCGCGCGAGCGTCTTGGCGTTCAGGAACGTGCATGCAGTGTAATCTGCCACGTCAACCTTGTGTACTGAGTGTACCTCGCCCGACCACTGGAACACTGCGGGTAAGGAGGCGGAAGAAATCCAGGGGCATCGGAATGGGAATAATGAAAGATATATACACCTCAATTGCACTAAATCACATTCTGCATCTAGCGCAAGTCACCAACTGGGGTTGGTGTGGTGGGAGGTATGCTAGGGACAGAGGAAATGGAAGGGAGTTATCGATGCAATTATTGGACTACAAGCTACACTGCATTCTCTAGAAAAGAATGAACGAGGGGCGAGCAGGATTATTGCGGGCAGAAAGGGAAAGGTATGCATGTGACATATGTATCATATTTCAGAGGGAAAAAGAGTATCATCAACCATATATACCTTGGTGATATATAGGGGCAGAGAGTGAATTCCATTACCCGTGAACCTCGTGGTGTTACACTCTACAATGCAGCATCTTTGTTGCACCCCACTCTGCACCATCTGTACTGCACCCCACTCTGCACCATCTGAACCGCACCCCACCCTGCACCATCTGTACCGCACCCCACCCTGCACCATCTGTGGTGAGCCTCAGCCCTTAATCCTCAAAACCCAGCCTTCGAAGTCGCAAGGACCAGAACTGCTCTGGAAGCACGGGCTGTGCTGTGTGGTGCTTCCACAGCAGGCCCGTGCTTCCACAGCAGGCATGGGGTGCCAGGGCACTGGCCCGGTGTGTTCCAGCGCAAAACGAAACTTAGCGATTTTTTTTTTTTTGGGTGGCTTCTGGGCCGACTTCGGCCGGATCAAAGACCCGGAATGCTGGGTCACCCAAACAGGCTTGGGTTACCAGAACAGGCTTGGGTTACCAGAACAGGCTTGGGTTACCAGAACAGGCTTGGGTTACTAGAACAGGCTTGGGCTACCAGAACAGGCTTGGGTTACTAGAACATAGAACAGGCTTGGGTTACCAGAACAGGCCCCAGTAACCAGAAAAAGTTCAAACCTGCATCACCAGTGTGCAAGGTGAATCACAGCAGAAGCACACAGTCCGGTGCAGGTGACGTTATTCACTCGTGAACACCTACCAGGGCACTGTGTGGAGAAATTATGCCCTTTCAGTTCTTGCAAACAAATACCCTTCCTGCCGCCGTCACCGCCTCCCACCCTCTCGCAAACCACCATTGTCACTCGTTGCAGCTGGGCGGTTGCAGCAGCAGCAGCACACCCAACACGCACAGGCGCGTACCTAGCAGGTCGCCAGGCAACAACTTGGGCGCCTTCCAGTCCTTCATTCCAAAGCCCCATGGAGACAGCCACCTGCCGTTGTTGCCCCCCACCCACACCATTTTCTGCACGCGGGGAGGGAAGGGGGCGGGAGTGAATTCTTGTGTCAACTCAAAAATAGCCCCACGAAGACAGCCACCGGCCGTTGTTACCCCCCACCCACACCATTTCCTGGACGCGGGGAGGGAGGAGGCGCGGGACGGAGATAGGAGGGAGGGCGGGATGGGGAAGGAAGGAAGGACGGAGGGGATAGGAGGGAGAGAGGGAGGGAGGGAGGGAGGGAGGGAGGGAGGGAGGGAGGGAGGGAGGGAGGGAGGGAGGGAGGGAGGGAGGGAGGGAGGGAGGGAGGGAGGGAGGATGAAGAGGGAAGACAAGGGGTGTGAAGAAGAGAAGGGAAGCAATACGAGCAGATCTCACTTACGAGATGAAGGGGAAGAGGGGAAGGGTGAGGGGATGGGGAGGCAGTCCTACCTGCGCCTCGGCGCCGGCTGAGGAGGAACGAGCGGCGAATGGCGGTGACCGTTGACGATCGTCGTCGGCGGAGAGCACGCGCGCGGAGAGGCAGACACCGGCGGGCAGCCGACGATGCGACGTCGGAGATTGCGGAGAGGAGAATCGGGAGGGAGTCGAGGGAGGGAGGGGAGGGGGTTAATGGGGGAGAGGAAGGTGGGGGGCCCGGGGGTGAAGGGGTTGGGAGAGGGGAGAGAGAGAGAGAGAGAGAGAGAGAGAGAGAGAGAGAGAGAGAGAGAGAGAGAGAGAGAGAGAGAGAGAGAGAGAGAGAGAGAGAGAGAGAGAGAGAGAGAGAGAGTGGTGGTGAGGAGGGAAGAGAGGAAAGGAAGGGGGAGGAAGGGGGAGGGGGGGAAGAGGGTTGCGGGTGAGCAAAGTGGAAGACATGGGGAGGAAATGGGACGATCTGGGGGGGCGGCGGGAGGAGCCTTGCGAGTACAGGCGATGCGCGTGGTACGGTGTGTGGATGAATGTGCATGGAAAGCAAGCAGGCGCCAGCAATGGTACATGCTGAGTTCGAAAACGTTAGGGCTGAGTTGGAAGGCGGTAAGGCTGACTTCAAAAGCGGCGCGGCGGATTTCAGAGCGTGAGAAGGAGCAGGACGCGGTGGCGCCTCGCAAGGAAGAGCGCATCGATAAATTAAAGACAGCGCTGGCTCGCCGATTGCACAAATGAGTGAAGGGCACGTACCGACAAGGATAACGAGGGCGGCAAGGAGGAGCCGCAGATGACTGGTTGCGCGCAACATGATTAGGAACGCCTGGATGGGTTTTTACTGGGCCGGGAGGGAACTTGTTCGGGAGGATTGGGAAGCTGTCGGACGAAGCGGAAAATGGTTAGAATTGCAGTGCTACTTCGTGGGCGGAACCAGAACCAGGAATATAGCGGGTTCTGTTGAGAAACATGGGGCGCAGAAAAAATTATGTCCTTGAAGGTAAAATTTACCGGGAGCTAGAGGTTCGAGATAGAAAACTAATGTTTCTTGGGGGCAGGAGGTTGGGTTGTTGAGCTTGGTCGGTGGGCGGTGTGAAGGGATGATGTGGGAGGTTCTCGTTGGACATTGAAGAGGTGGGCAAAGCAGGCGCTGCTGCTGCTTGTGTGGGGCTGATAACGCTAAAGAGTTTTGTTGCGTCGTCTCTACCGCGCTCATAGACTTCTAACTCTAAATGAACCGCACAAAACACGAGCGTTTACCGAGCCACTTGAAGGCAGCTTTGAAGGGGGCATGCACTTTTTGTTGGTGCGAAGCGAAAGGGCAAATGTGAATGAACGAGCTCCAGGAAAATGTCGGGCAGACACAGACCACGGTGGTTGGTTGAAGCCAATTTTCCCGCTGCCTTTTGAGTGAAAATAAAACAGGGCTGACGAAACCATACATTTCGCGCCGCCTATTCGCCCTTCGAGGCGGCAGTGGATGCCCAGAAAATTACAGGTACATTGCCTGCCAGTCTGTTCACGCATCTCCTCCCGAAAGTGTTCTGGGCCGAGTGGAAAGTTCTGCGCCGCCAGAAAAATGTCACATGCGGACAGGATCCGTGAGCGTGCTTGTAGTGAGCGCACGAAAATCGACTCCATACTACACCAGCACGAAACTATCGATAGATTCTGTAGGACGATCAACAATTTTTGCTATTTCAATGTAGCGAATTCAAAGTTTCCTTTCTTAATGTTACGGGTGCAATGGATCGAAGTAGCGAGAATTGCACTAAGGTGTCAAACGAGTACAAAATGTGAGCGAAGGCATGAGCGAACATTTATACGCGAAACATGCAAACGGTAACGCGGTGCGTGCGAGCTAGCTAGTGCTACGCTGGAAGCGAGGCTCGGGCTAGTCCCGAAGCGTAGGCCGACACGGCCAGGCCAGCAGTGCGAGGTTTGGTGAAACAGTGCGCGCGAAGTTGGCGAAGCCCCGTTAGCAGTAACGGGCGAACAACGGCAGCTGCTGTACGCAATGTTGCAGAGTGCGCTAAGGAATATCGAGAAAATTCCTTACACTACCCCCCCCCCCCCCCCCCCTCAAGAAGCCCCCTCCGCTACGCGAGTGCGTGTATATCGCGGAAGCCCCGGCTCCTCAGGTAAACTTGCAGGGCAGAGTGGTTTTCGATGTTGGCCAGGGGCACCCAGCTGTCCTCAGTTGGCGTGCGATCCTTCCAGCGGACGAGGAATTCAATCCTCTTGATTCCCGTGGGGTGTCGAATCCGATGGCTCGGGATTTTTTCGGGCGCGATGATCGGCTCCGATGCGGGGCGAGTCATGGATGGTGGGCGGTGGCGAGGCAGTTGGCTTGTGGTTGGGATGTGTGGGCGAAGTAAGCTGACGTGGAACGAAGGGCTGATGTACTAGTCAGTCGGTAACAGTAGGTGCGCGGTTACTGGCGTGATCATGTGGCTGATTTGGAATGGGCCACAGTAGCGCGGTCGAAGTTTTGGTACGTCGGGCAGTCGCAGATTTTGCGTGTCGAGCAGTACGTAATCCCCTGACTGGTATGTGACTGGGCGGCGGTGGCGGTCAGCGTTGCGCTTAGCGATGACGTTTGTTTTTTTAATTGCTTCTGCGGCTCTAGTGCGGGCAGCTTGCAGAATTTCGGCGAATTGCTGTGTATGTCAGTAGAGCTACACTGTGAGATCCCCGATCGATCTTACGGAGGGTTACAGGCGCGTTTGCCTGGGGGGTTATGGGCGCACTGACCCGCTACTGAAACAAGCCCTTTTATCCCAATGGTCTAGTGGTTGGGATTCTGACAGTGCACGTGGTGTTGGGTTGTCCGGACTCGGCGTCATGGGCACTGTAGGATGTTGCCCGTAGTTCAGGTAGAAGGGGGACTGCTGCGTCGTCGCTGATGTGGCATTGTTGTACGCGAAATCGATCAGCGGCAGCTGCTGCTCCCAAGTCGCGGGGTCGTCGCACGTGGCACGAATCAACTGCTCCATCGTCTGATTCGTCCGCTCCGTTTGACCGTCGGTCTCGGGGTGGTACGATGAACTGAACTGTAGCCTGGTCCCGAACTGCTCCTAGAGATTTTTCCAGAAGTTGCTGGTAAACTTCGTGTCCCTATCGCTGATAATCGCTGATGGTATCCCATGCAGGCAAACAACGGCTGCGATGAACAAACGAGCGGTCTCCTCGGCTGAGATCGACTTTTTGCATGCAGCGAAGTGTGCCACCTTCGTCAACCTGTCAACGACGACCATCACCGCGCCGTTACCCCCAGGGTTTGAAGGTAACCCTGTGACGAAGTCCATGGTAACCTGCTGCCAGGCGTGCTCGGGCGGTGGTATCGGCTGCAATTGACCCGCCTTCCGCTTCCTCGAGCTTTTCATCACCTGACACCTGGGGCACGAGCCCACGTGCTGCTGCACGTCGGTCAACAGCTCCGGCCAGTAGTAATACCGCTGCAGTTGCTGTCGCGTTTTTTCTACCCCAAAATGTCCCGAGGTAATTCTGTCGTGTGCCTCCTGTAGTAGCAGCTCCCTCAGTAGTGAGTACGCGAGTACCCAGATGCGGTTGGTGCCTGTTTCTACGTAATAAACCCCTTTAGCTTCTGCCATTTGCAGTGAATTTCCGGTCGTGAAAAATGGGTCGGTGCGGTATCCGTGGGTGAATAGGCCTGTCAAAAGTGGGTTGGTCTGGGCGAGTAGGATGGCGTGGAGTTGGGCGGTAGGGCGGGTGAGTGCGTCGGCGATGTTGGATGCGCCTTTCTTGTACGTAACCGTGTAGTGGAAGTTGGACTCGAGGTAGTCCAACCAGCGAATCTGTCGTGGATTGAGATTCGGTTGGGCGCGTAAGTATTGTAGTGATCGGTGGTCTGTTCGAACTGTCACGTCGGTGCCAGTCAGGTAACACCGCCAAACTTTGAATGCGTGCACGATCGCCAGCATTTCGCGGTCGTGTATCGGGTAGTTGCGTTCGGGCGGGTGCAGCTTGAGGGACTCGTACGCGATTGGCTAGAGGCTGTTCCCGAAATCCTGCAACAGTACTGCTCCCACAGCGATGTCACTTGCGTCAGTGACGAGCTCGAACGAACGGTGTGGATCGGCGATGTGAAGCACGGGCGGGAGCACAAAATATTTTTGAGGGCCGAGAAGGCAGCTTGCTCTTTCTCCCCCCACGTGTACTCAACCCCCGTCCTCAGCAGGTCGGTCAACCGGGCAGTCAGCTTTGCCATTCGGGGACGAACCGCGCAGTAGTTGACGAACCCCCAAAAACTCTGCAACTCGGTCAAGTTGGTCGGCGCGTGCCATGCTTGAATTGTCGCAATTTTCTTCGGGTCTATTTCCACTCCTGCAGCTGAAATAACGTGTCCCAAAAACTCCAGGCGGTCCTATAAAAACTCACACTTAGACGCTTTTGTCAGTAGGCGGTTCTCACTCAGTATTTTAAAAACTACTTCGATGTCCTGTAAGTGCTGTGCTCTGTCAGGGCTGTAAATAAGTATGTCGTCCAGGTATACTATGACGCACTTATCTAGGAGCGGGCGGAAAGCTTCGTTCATGGTCATTTGAAAAGTGGCGGGGGCGTTGGTCAGTCCGAAGGGCATGACGGTGTATTCGAAAGATCTGTAGCGTGTGCGAAATGCGGTCTTAGTGCAGTCGGGCGGGTTGACGCGAATCTGGTGGTAACCTCCTCGGAGGTCGATTTTCGAGAAAACCCGGGCTGTGCGCAGTTGGTCGATCAGTTCGTCGGCTCGCGGGATGGGGTAACGGGATTTGATGGTAACCCTGTTCAGTGCTAAGTAGTCTATGCATATGCGAAATCCCCCGTCTTTTTTCGGTGTGAACAGTATCGGTGCTGCGAAAGGCGACGAACTAGGGCAAATGAACTCCTTCTCGAGCAGGTAATCGAGCTGCTTCCTCAGTTCGTCCAGTTCGGGCTGGGTCAGTCAGAACTGTCGCTGTACTGTTGGCTGTGCCCCTGGTTCTAACTCTATCCTGTGGTCATGCGGTCGCTGAGGTGGTAGTCCCGTCGGTAAATCGTCCGCGAAAATGTCGCTGTACTGCTTCAACAGTGCTGCTAGGTCACTCGGTACGTCGGCCAACAGTTTCTGTAAATCCCCTCCTTTGTCTGTTGCCTCGGCTTCCCGAATGTCGACTACGTACACGTCAGCTCCTGCCGCTACGGCGCGTTTCATCGTGATCGCGTTGACACGCACTGACAAAAACTCAGGCGAGCCCCAGCGAGGTAGGGCGATGTTGTTACTGTTCACTCGCACGGTGCAGTTACCTGTCGTCCAGTCGATTCGCGGATTGTGTCGTCGCAGCCAATCACGCCCGAGTAAAATATCGGTTTCGTCGAGGGTCGTTGCGAGCATTTCCTGGCTAAACGTGAAGTTACCCCCACATCGAATCCGAACTCGGTCTGCGCGTTCCCGTATTGCCAGCGGCGTGCCGTCTACCAGTCTTGCTTCGATCTCAGGTAAGCATCTGTCCAGTGGCAGTCGCAGTTTTTGTGCTGAGGCAGTGTTGATGAGGCCGTGGCTGGCTCCCCCGTCTACGAAGATTTTAACTTAGTC